AAAGAAATATGCTTGCAGCACTGGTCTATAATAGTTACTCTACCAAAGTACTCCTTGCATTGTGGCCAGAGGTGAATCAGGTCGTTGTTCCTTGCAAGTTAGTCAGTGTATGGAATTATTGGTTGCGGTTATAGTATCAGGAAGCTAATATTATTCTCAAAAAGGTCATTATCAATATGATTTAGCTGAAAGTGAACGTAGATGCTTGGCATTACAAGTATAAATGGATGGATGAATCATATTGTTTACTGTTAAATCTTTATCAAATGTATTAAAAAAAGGTGCATCTATCCACGTTATCATATGTGGGTCACATGTGACATGACTTTATATGTTTTGTATGTCTTCAATTTTAACATAACGAATATTGGGGGCACAAGTGGCCCAGTGGTCTAAGGCGCCGTGATTCGCAGTGCTGCGTTGTCTCCCTTGGGCACACCATAAACCTATGATTGTAGGTTCGAGTCCGGTTCGCCCGATTATGTTTTTAGTTTTGTCAGCACCATATCCGTGCTCTGGATTTCACCAAAGTGGTAAACATCTGAGACCTCCATCACTTCGGGCTTTCCTCCCACATTAAGCTGACACACCGTGATATAACTCGAATACTGTTATACCTAAAGCAGCGTTAAACCCAATTCACTCACTCATAACGATTATTCCATTCATGGGGAATAATTCTTAGATTATAGAAATGAATGGAACCAGTTGTCCCAATAAAAGATCGGTGTACTGTTAGCTTATCTTCACTGTCAGAAAGATAAAATGACTTCACATCCATGGATGTATCATTCAGTACAGACGTGGAGCAGGGCTAATCAGCACCGTGCGGCTGTTTGTTTATAGTAAGAGGCTTGTGCCATGGGGAGTGGACATCGGCATGTCTGATGACCATGAGCTCGTAACTGCTGATAAGATGCTGACAGTTTTATTACTAAACAAGGATGGGAGCACCCCTGGCGAAATGCGTAGGAGTAAGTGATCATTATTCTAGCATGAAGTGACACCCTACATTGGCATAAATCAGATGTGAGGAAGCCTCACAACCGAGGCGGGATTTTTGCGTGACAAGCCAACGCTTCAACCATTCTACCTCACCACAACTGCCCCATATGAATACACGAGTGACTGGTGAATATTGTTTATCGCTGACATCACAAGTTCCATGTATTATAAACAGTTTTAATCCTTATTTGTTTAAAATGCAAAACAGCACATGAATTTTAATTGAAACATTTGTTGAGCGAACGTGCATGTTTGTTGAATCGTCATTCATTTAGTAGAGTAGAGGTTATGTGATCATTCATATCGTAGTATTGAAAAAATATGGTTTAATTATAAAACACTACGGTGAGATGAACAAATGGTACTCCTACAGCTGTTGGTCATGTTCTGCAACTGTCTCCAATGTACTGTTAAAATTAAATATTGGTGAACAATTTCTCATTGATATCAAACCACATTGGGTAAATCGTCAGTCAACTTCTCATATACTAATCTAGAAACCTCTGCAGTCATATTTACATTAATGTTTACGCAGCAGTTAACGACATAACCTGTTGTTTCGTTCAGCTGTGTGAATGAGGTTTAAATCCTTCTTGGTTGGACTGAACTGCCGATTCGTTGAATTTGGTTCTGACGGCATAAACTCCTTCATAAATTCCTCTACCCTTGCTCCAAGTTTTCTGGGTCGCGTTTCACCAGTTTCCACGATTTCATGTTCTTTGTTTATCACAATTTTGTCAACCCTGTTTGTGCCACCACTCTCTTGCAAATTATTATTGTCTATAATAAACGGTCGATCGCGAAACATCCAAAAATGAAGAGTTGTAAGGGGAGGCCCAAACTACCTGGAATCGCTTATAGGTTTCATGTGCATAAGTATGCTGTAACCTTACTTAGACGTGAATGGGACAAAACAATTCTTCATACAGAGAAATATGGAAAGCTAATGTTGAATGTGTGTACCTACATAAATACTGCGGACTGCTGAACGTTGATATAAAATAACCATGCAAAAAATGAAGGTTACTTTTAAGGACATTAAGAAACTTAAATGTACATCGATCGCACATCGCAAAAGAAATAGTTCATGTTTGATACGCATTTCTTAGAAGTTGACGGGTGAAAAAGTAGACAAAAATGTTTTATGCATGGATACAACCTCTTTATTATACTGTAAAAACGACGTTTCGGTATAGATTCTTATACCGTTGTCAAGCAACACTGACTAATGAACATGGTGCATATATGGTAGGTGAAGGATTACTAGTAACAACAATTATAATACATGAGAGCGACTAACATGAGTAGATTGACATTTACTTTTACGAGAGAAAGAGAGAAAAATATTTTATTCTGGTGTCTAGCGTTTATACATTTTAAAACAATCATAAAAACGTATCACACTCTGATACGACGTTCGGTCAGCTAGGGCCAGTTAGACACCAGTTACCGTCAAACGGTCAATACAATGTAATAATAAAACCACTTACAGTGCTAAAATAATACAAATACCCTGTGTTAAAAGAGAGAGTAAATGCAGGGAGTCCTAGCTAAACAAAAAGCAATAGTGAATATTATTTATTATAGAGTCTACGTTTAAACATATTGTTAATCAGTGCGGCTACAGGGGTTGACAAATCCTCGCACTGTATTAGACATTTCATTCGGTCTGTAGGTGACTAAGATCTGAAATGTGTGTATCACATCAAAATTTTGCAAAAATGCTAGGTTATGTTCTGTCAGAGTAATATTACAAACATAGTGTGAAAAGCTCAGTGTAGACTTAAACAGTCGGTTTGTCCGTAACTTATTACCATTAATTTGCCCCCAGAGCTTTCTGAGCCATGTTTCCTTATCAATGCAGATTAAGTCTATACGTATTCAAAACAAAAAAGGGTAAAACATGATCTATACAGTCATGAAAGCGGTAACTATAAAACATTAAACATGTTTATAACTGTGCAGTCCCAAGACTTTGGGAATTAAAATGGCCACCTTTGTACAAATTTAGTGAGCCTACTTTCTTCATAAGAACAGAGGAGGGATTACGGTAATGAAAAATATTTGTTTTTTACTTTTGATCGCCATTTCTTACACCAGCTGGCAATACAGTTTAACATCAACTGGAGTGACATTTCATCCGTTACTAATAGAGCAACATCATCGGCATACAGTAAAAGACTTATCATGGTGTTAAAAGTATCTACACCACATTACCTCTTGTACCAAGTCATTAATGAAAACCGAAAATAGTGTCGGCGACAAAACGCAGCCCTGTTTCACAGCACTAAGTACAGCGAAACTGTCTGTCATTTTGCCATTTCACAAAAACCTGCGAGCGATTATTTTCATATAATGATTTAACCCCCAAAAGACCTTCCCGTTTACTCCCAATTTGAATAGCTTGTAGCAAAGAGAATCGCGATTCACTTAATCGTAAACTTTCATTGCATTGATATAACACACACGTTTGGTGATTCACGGATATTTTTTTTTAAAATAGAAAAGAGGGTGTAAATATCATCCGTTGTACTTCTCTTACGCCGAAAGCCGTTTTGTTCCTCTGCTAATACATGATTAGATTCTAGCCATTTAGAAAAAGCGTGTATTCAAAATATCAGCGTAAATTTTGCAAGGTATTGATAACAAAGAAATTCCACGATAACCTAACGGATCATGAGGATCAGTATCTGATTCTTTTATTGTATAGATTAAACTGTATCGTGTTACAACCCTTAATGTAAATTAAATATTTTACATTAAGGGCTGTGGGTTCACTCTTGTTACAACTCTTAATGTAAAAAGTTTTACATTAAGGGTTGAAGTGACAGATAATATTTTTTACATTAAGGGTTATCACTATGAAATAATACTTATCGAACATTCATGAAACTTCGCAGATTTAATTGATCGTTACTTTGTCTAGATGGCTTTATAAAATACGATCTGTAGAGTATTTCATGTCAGTTAGGTACCGACCATTGGATCTTCTGAGGGAGCTGACATAAGTTCACCGAGGAACTTCGTACCAAGTGAGCTGTAAATGCTATCTTTCGACATATTTAATGAATAAATCTTATTGGATTGTGAATAGATTTCACATGACGGATGACGCACGCCGTACGAAGACGGATGGCAATACGTCACATAAGCCTTTCGGACATCTTGCATGTGTGGATAAAAATTAAACTAACTAGAACTTTTCTATCGGGAATTAAAAACCGCAGATGAATGATAATGTTAACATGAGTATCCAAACGTCCCTCTGCAATCATATTGGACGACATAATCGCAACCTCCGTTTTTTAAAGATTATACGAAATAGGGTAGAGTATTTAAAGGAGCAATCAGAGACCTCAATACGGAGTCTCATAACATGTCAATATACGAAATTTGAACGAAATCGGACAATTTCTAAATTTCAACCAATCAGTTTATAAAAAAACTGAAACAAAAAGGGACTAAGCATACACCTTTTTATTTCCCTGAGGCTGAATTGACCTTCGACATTGACCGCAGCACCCGCTTCTGATCCACAGCTGACGCTGTTCCACTTGAGTCGCGATCTGCGACTGGAGCCGACACTTGATGCTCTTCGACTTCCAGAGTAGTAGATGGCATGTCCTAAATAACAAACCTGCCGTTCTTATAATAGCCCCTGTCGCTTATTACGAATAATTACAAGAAAACAAGCAAAAACAATGAAGTAACAATTTTAGTAGAATTTGCTAAAATGTATTGAGATGATTTTCTAGCTTTTATTCAATGTTATAATAAGCATTTTGCTGTTTACTGTATCAGCTGGAAAGTGTTACCTTTACAGTACAAATAACACCGCCGTATCCAGCTTTATTTATTTTTGTTTCATCCGAATCCCCTGTTGTAATTTTCTTCAAATATATATAACATTTTGACGATTCTGCCAAATCATAAGTCGCTCATGATTTTATCATTCTCTAATTGATAACATATGTCTATAACTGTCATACGTTTGTGTGACGAGATACCTAAATCGAATGCTATCCAATTGTTTCTAGGTTCGGATACAAATCATTTTTCAGGACCTAGTGGAAAAATATATGCACCTGAAATATTCATGAACCGACTTTGTTATTCTTTACAATCCAACATGTGGATTGCAGTATCACCTTTTCATATGGAAAGCACAGCGTCTCTCTGACATGCAGTTTTGCGCCACAGTCCAGTTTTGGTGTCTTGGACAGTCGCTCCCTGGTTCTTTTCCTGGCATACTGGTGTTCAGCTGGTGGTTCTTCCTGGAATGATATGTTGTAACAGAAACATAGCCATCCGTTATACACTACAAATCTGTGTTTAGACCGTAAACACATACAAGCCATGTTTTGATCTAAATATGCTTAGAAACGTGTTTAAATCTTAAACGGAATAACATTTGGTCTGGGGTCTAAACACACAGAATGCGCTATCGTCTCACAAAATAAACACCACTTGAACACAACATCCCAAAAATGTAAACATGTTTCTTATTTAAGCATGTTTAACATGTAAACTTGTTTACGTCAGAGTGCATATCATTGCTTGTCGTAAAAGGCGACTAATGGGATCGGGTGGTCAGGCTCGCTGACTTGGTCGATGCATATCATGGATCCCAATTGCGGGGGAAATTTCAATATACGAAATCGGACAATTTCTAAACTTCAACCAATCAGTTTATTAAAATAAACTGAAACAAAAAGGGACTAAGCATGCACCCTTTTATTTCCCTGAGGCTGAGTTTACCTTCGACCTTGACCGCAGCACCCGCTTCTGATCCACAGCTGACGCTGTTCCACTTGAGTCGCGATCTGCGACTGGAGCCGACACTTGATGCTCTTCGACTTCCAGAGTAGTAGATGGCATGTCCTAAATAACAAACCTGCCGTTCTTATAATAGCCCCTCTTGTTCTCAGGTCTGAGCAAAGTCAGTTTCTCACGCTGTCGCTTATTACGAATAATTACAAGAAACCAAGCAAAACAATGAGAAATTTGAAAATAGCAAAAAGTACCCTAAATTGCAAATCAAACTTTGTTAATAAGAATCTTTTACAATTAGGGGCGATATGTACGATAATAACCCTTAATGTAAAATTATATTTATTTTTTACATTAAGGGTCGCGGGGTGTTACTCTAAATGGAAAAGTTTTTAACATTTAGAGTTAACACGTACCCCTTAACGTAATTGTTTTTACATTAAGAGTAATTTTAACATTCAGGGTTGTAACAGTGCCGCCAAACTTTAGGACAAACATTATTATCAAAACAAAACATAAAAATGCGTAATAGTATATTTAGATTAGAAAAGACATTGCCTAACAACGATACAGTAACTTTTCGATACCTTACATTCGTATCCTGTCAGTGATACCTGGGTTTCTAATTATGGGTGGATAACACAACATAAAATGACATTTTACTATACCTTGGCAGTGGGGTGTTCTAAATGGTCTTCAGGTCTCGGAAATGAAACAATAAAGCGTCGTTCAAACTGATATTCGGTCAGCCTTCCCTCGCCCAATGCTTTATTTATACCAGCTGCGTATTTCCGTCTTTTCCTTCTGTCACCTTTTTCGGCCTGTATATAATAAAGACATTAAAAAAATGATGATATATATGTTAGAAGTGGTATTCTAATACGATTCACTATTTTGACTTGTGCCTTTTGTTCCCGTGATTTTCCATGTAAACAAATGACTTGCCTTTGCATAATTATGTCTGTGACGGATGCCACAGGTAGGGCGTTGCGCTCACCTTTTCGCGAACACCTCATATCATGATTTAGTCTCTTTGATAATGATTCTTAGACATATGCTTATGATATAGTTCGAATCGTACAATTGACTCTGATGTAAGCAGATTTTTCTAAAAGGTATTGAGATGATTTTCTAGCTTTTATTCAATGTTATAATAAGCATTTTGTTGTTTACTGTATCAGCTGGAAAGTGTTACCTTTACAGTACAAACAACACCGCCGTAACCAACTGCTTTTATTTCATCCGAATCCCCTGTTGTAATTTTCTCCAAATATATATAACATTTTGACGATTCTGTCATATCATAGTCGCTCATGATTTTATCATTCTCTAATTGATAACATATGTCTATAACTGTCATACGTTTGTGTGACGAGATACCTAAATCGAATGCTATCCAATTGTTTCTAGGTTCGGATACAAATCATTTTTCAGGACCTAGTGGAAAAATATATGCACCTGAAATATTCATGAACCGACTTTGTTATTCTTTACAATCCAACATGTGGATTGCAGTATCACCTTTTCATATGGAAAGCACAGCGTCTCTCTGACATGCAGTTTTGCGCCACAGTCCAGTTTTGGTGTCTTGGACAGTCGCTCCCTGGTTCTTTTCCTGGCATACTGGTGTTCAGCTGGTGGTTCTTCCTGGAATAATATGTTGTAACAGAAACATAGCCATCCGTTATACACTACAAATCTGTGTTTAGACCGTAAACACATACAAGCCATGTTTTGATCTAAATATGCTTAGAAACGTGTTTAAATCTTAAACGGAATAACATTTGGTCTGGGGTCTAAACACACAGAATGCGCTATCGTCTCACAAAATAAACACCACTTGAACACAACATCCCAAAAATGTAAACATGTTTCTTATTTAAGCATGTTTAACATGTAAACTTGTTTACGTCAAAGTGCATATCATTGCTTGTCGTAAAAGGCGACTAACGGGATCGGGTGGTCAGGCTCGCTGACTTGGTTGACGCATGTCATCGATCCCAATTGCGTGGATCGATGCTCATGATATTAATCACTGTCATTGTCTGGTTCAGACTCGATTATTTACAGACCGCCGTCATATAGCTGAAATATTGCTGAGTGTGGCGTTAAACAACCAACCAACCAACCAAGCATACCATTGTGTTTTATCCTAATAATCTAAATTTGTTTAAATAAAGTACATATCATTTGGCAATAAGTCAAATATGGATAATATGCCTTGAAATTAGATGTGCAAATCAGATTCACAGGCACTTGTATAACATATATACCATTAGAATTTACAACGGACTTGGTCCAATATTACCAAAATAATGTTCAAATAAATCAAGCAAAGATAATGGTGAGATAAAGAGATAAGCTAAGATAAAAATTGACATTTGATCTCCGTAGCACATGTGGTAGCTTGACGGACTACAAGTCAAGAGGCTGCAGGTATGGGTTCCTATATATTAAATAAAGTGTTGTGTTATGTGTTGTTGCTGTGTGACTAATTGTACACAGAAGCTAAGAACGTATGTCTTATTACAACGATAGATTCCAATCTTTTCAAAGTTACCACCCAAATTGCTGTATCCTCAATCAACGCTAAAAACCTACAGAAAGCGTCCCTTTTCAAAGATACCGAAAGTGAAACTAACGGATCTTACGGATCAAACAAAAACGTCTTTGTTGAGTATGACGTTAAAGTAACTTGAGGGGAAAATATTCAACAATACTGGTAAAATAAATAGTATTCCCGGTATTTTGTGTAAAATAATATTTTTGCCATTCAAAATGTGACACAAAGTTCAACAAGTAGTACCTATTCTCCCTATCTCATGACCGTCATGATTATTTGCACAAACATTTCTATATTTGAACATATCCCGTAGACCAAAAGGTCCCTTATACCTTGTCATATAAGTCCCTTCACAAATTTCTGTATGCTTTTGCTTACTTAACACAAATGATCAATTCATATTTATAAATGGACAAAAAAAATAAAATGATTTGTACCATACTATCAACAAGTTGATTGTACCGAACTTCCAACGATGTCAATGCTTTTATGCTACACAATGTTACAAAATATGACAGCAAAACTATGATGTCTATAGAATATGTGTTTTATGCCACGATAAAGTATTTATTAGATAATCACCTACGTCTGTCCAACAATCAAACACCTCACCTGACTCCATTGTTTTGTCCCCCGGTAACTACCGACAAAGAAGATTGTTTTCTTTCTTTAGTGAAATACACCACAATGCTAGCCCTTTTAAACATCTAGGCTTCAGCTGAATCAGGTCGACCTGTACTGTTTGTTAACATTCATTTCAGAATTTACTCTAGTGTAGAATATTTTAGATATTGTTACATATGTTACTTTTTATATTCTGTATTACAGATTTATCTAAGAGGCAAATGTGTATTGGTAATGATATTGTAATAATACGTTGTAACCCATAGTAATTTTACACCCATCTCCTAATGGAAAAGCTGTTTCATAAAATTTTTAAAAAGCGACTTTATTGAAATTTTAACTCTCAAATATATTTTATTCCTTTGTTGTCTATGGAGCGTTATCATGTTCTATACTTTTAAATGTATATAGACAAAATCTTCTCTATAATAACTTTACACCAGTAATACATGGGCTTGTATACATCGGCATCGACTCTGCTTTCTTTAGTGTATACATTCCCATACCTTTGTATCAGTAGTCTTTGTTCTATCAGGCTGGTTGAGTATGATATTACGACAACGAAACTACATTTATTCATTTTATGTAGTTTGTATTAGTTGAAAGTATGTTAAGTCGCGCAGGTAAGCTATTACTCCCATCCGTTGCACCATTTTATGCACACCTTTGATTTACAGAGATATGGTTATTACCTTATTCTGTTCTTTGCGCCCTTTTCCGTATTTACAATCCCATGTCTGCGATGATACAACGATATACAGGGAATCATCTTTTGGCTTCAGACTTTGATTCCTGCCATTCAGCAGAATCCGCGGTTTATCTGTCGCCGTCGGGATATCTGTATGGGCAATGAGAAAGGAATTATTTAAACCAAAGTTATAAGATCGTATGTTCATTATACCTGTGAACATGAGACGAACATATGCCTAGAACATGAAAAAACGCTAAATGCCTTCTTTACATATTATTCAGAGACCAACTGTGTTGTAATCGCGAAACTAACTGATACTCACATAATAAATACTTCTCTACTCACAGTTTTTGTTGAAGTGCTTCTTAGTTGTAGTTTTCTTGAAGCTGTATCCTGTAACATTACAAAAGCTGGCTTTGGCAAGCGCGACACTTTCGTTGTTCTCAAACTCCTTGGTATATTCGAACCTGCAAAAAATATTTTTCATATTTGATTTGAATGTTTTTCATCCGTATGATCAGCGATGCAGGAACGATTATACGGTGTATATTCATCAAATTGATGTTTATCATTGCCAGCATTAGAAAATGGTATTTACTATGATCAGATAAACAGTTTAATTCGTTACATTACATCATTGAAGTTAGAAATCTACAAAAATTCTTAGTTATATTTTATTGTATTTTTATCTATTTGTTTTGATATTCGTTATAACTTTGATTTTGATGTAAAACAATCATTCAACGTAATTATCACAGCTTAGTTATAGTTTATATATCCCGCTCTCCATTTGAATTCACTTATATTTAAATGTCTATTAGTTTAACTATGGTGGAATTATATTAAATATCTTATACAACTGTATACAAATCTATCTGTCTGTCTGTGTGTGTGTGTGTGTGTGTGTGTGTGTGTGTGTGTGTGTGTGTGTGTGTGTGTGTTGTTGTATTTTCTTATTACTCGTATATAATTCCTATGCACTGTGCATTTATTATGCACTATTATTATTCAAATATTACAATATAATGAAATGTATGTTTGAGAAGGCCTCGTAAGTGTGTCACTTGTGCCTAATCCATTTGATTTTCCGCAATAAAATATGTTTATAATAACAAAATCTAAAGTTGAATTAACTTACTCGTATTCCATCTTCAAATAATAGTGTAGTGATCAGCTAAAACGCATGTGGTCCTCGATGAAAGTGTCAGATGAAAATGACCTGCTGGGTAAACCCGTCACCTGCTGGTCACTGTCTAGATTTGTCATCCTTCATGCGATATAATAAGGGGGATAGTGTGGCCCCTGACATGAATTTGTTGAAAGGTTCTCGCAATAGCTCATTGGCCAAGTGCCCCGGTAGGCATCACATTGCATAACGGTTAGTTCAAGCTACACACGTCTGTTCATCCTGAAAAAGTGCCAACGCTTAGCCTCTGAAAATATATAATTTTATTAGAAACAAACAAGTACATTCAAATTGAAAAAGACCCCGATTGAGATTGGAGAAATAAAATATATCAATAAAGCAGACAATTGCTGTCGCATTTTCAGGTTCGAGTAATTAACTGATCATGGACTGCGTGGTCGATAGGCGGTGTTGATTCAACACGTCTTCTGTCTATGAGGTATCAGGTGTAAATAGCCCTGGACAATATGGGGTCATTTTCTCCCCAAATTGTGGCCACTTTCTCTACAGTTTAGGCCATTGCCTCCAAATTGGTTGGGGCATGGGGCCATTTTTTCCTGCAACCAGTTACAAGGACTATAATTGCTAACAACAAAGTTACGCGGTGTGTAAGCATCTATCATACGTTAATTCTCTTTCTTTGGTGCACTTCGTATTATCAATGAAATGGAAACCCGTATATTAACATTTAGTCCAAGAAATGAAGCTATTGTATATATAAATATACATCTGCAACAAATGAAGACGAATCCAAATAGTGCCCTAAACAATGTTTCAATTCAGGAGCTGAGGCAATTGAGACTTTCCAAATCTTCCTAGACCGTATATTATCGTGATAAACAAGAATTACCTCACAAAATCTGACATAAGGATAAAAGCGTTGTTAATAAATTCAGTGACCAACCCGCCCTTTATTTTTTCAAACGTCTCCATGGCTGTGACTGTTCATTCTCCATACCGCCGGGGCCGAGGCCACATTTGGGTATCCAGCATGTCAAGCAAACGAATTAGTTTTTCTGTTTGTTTTTTTCAACAGCACCGAATGTTGTTATGTATTTTATTTCATAAGAAAGTAGGCCTTCGGCCCAAATTTACAGTATATATTTGGTCCAACACTGAACAATAAAAACGTTGTGTTGTGTTGTGGCATGATACATGTACATGGCATGGCTTTTAACTACCTTTACATGAGGTGAAGAGATCGATTAATTGCATTAAAACAGTGTTGAATGAATAACATGTATGTTTGGTACACATCTTTCTCGTAACGTACTGTATTTGGAACAAATCAATGCAAAATGGAATATTGATATTTCATTACAGCAAATCCTTTCATATCTTGGAATATTATCTCAGTGTCCCTTTATTATGCGGATGTAGACACGTTTAAAACAAATGCCTTCAGATGAGAATACAACCGCTTTATTTATATGCTGCCTGTGCTATACTAACCCAAACATTTTGGGCATTTTTTCCAAGAGCGCATGTGCTCGTAAACTCATATTCTCTTCGAAAAACCGACTTTCCATAGTCATCTAAATTATTATATTAGGTTATATTATTTTCTTCATACTAAAAACGAGTACATTAAAGGTAAACTTGATTCTGACGTACCACGTGAGAAAAGTTAAGGGCGGATTGGATAAGAATTGTATTCTCACCACACTCTATGTTTGTGAAGTGATACATTTCATTGAGATAATATACAGTGACAAGTCAACAAATTGTTAATTGCTTCCAGCTGACTATTTTCAGATGAATACCATCAACCCGGGCTCTGCGGAAAGTGTCACGACGCATGGTATGACATCTTCCGACACTGAGGGGGTATTAGCGCATGTTACTGTCACGTGTTGTGGCGAGAGAGCTGGCATCCCTTATCAGTTTCTCAATAAATGCAGTGTGATAAGATCGTATCAGTAGACAGTGCACATACCCACGAACATATGATATTTTCTTCTCCCTAGGATTCGCCATGGGTGTCCGTTGCCTCCTCTCAGTTTTGCTCGTCTTCCTCCTCGTGTAGAATTTGGTCAATAAACACGATGTCATCAGAACACATAATCTGACCCACGGTTTAGCAGTAGCTTGCTGCTAATTTGTCAAGGGGCCGATCTGTGGAAGGGCGCGTGTATTTGTGGCGGGGGGGGGGGGGGGGGGGGGGGGGGGGTCCAGCAAGTCCAGTTTCTTCTGTGTGTGTTTTTTCTCAACAGCTCCGATTAAATATAAAGTTACAACTCTGTATGATCACAGTAAAAATGTGTTTATATCTAAATCCTAAATGGTTAGGGTTTTAACATTTGTAGGATTGTGTTTAACATGCTAAACGTGTTTCGAGTCTGAATTTGGGAAAACTCGAAGTAATCAGTTACACTTCCATTGTTTTGCAAGTACATGTGAATCTGATTGGCACATCTAATTTCAATATATATTCCACATCATATTTACATTTTACTTGATGCCCAATGATAGGCACTTCATTTAAACATGTTTAGATTATTAGGATAATACACAATGGTTTGCATTTTATCGTTAACATGTTTAAAGGTTAAACCAAATGTGTATTCCGCTTCGGATTTCAACACATTCTTAAACATGTTTCAAACCGAAACATGTGTTGTATGTATTTTCATTCTAAACTCATTTTACAGTGTAAGTACCATGATATCTAATCTGAAATTAACCATTCTCATGTGTGGTTATGAAATACGTGGACCAATAACTGTATGACATGTACAAGGCAACAACGGGAAGTTTCCGCAGAGGTCAAAAATACATTTACATGAATACATGATATAAAAAAATATTTTCACTGTAGGCATTTATTCACGTTGGGCCATAATATAGTAATTTTAGAGACCGATAGAGTAGGATATGCACACCCTTTTCGCGAATTTTCGTGATCCACTCATATAACTTCAAGGGATTTGGAGCTGAACCTTACATTTCAAGTTATATTCCCCGCTGTGGCAGTAGAGCCCTTCCTCTGTTTCCATGCGGAGTATAAACATGTGGAGTATAGCCCCACTACACGTATAAACAGGCCTGCACTGCAATAAGCCACAGTGGCACGTCAAGAAGTAGCTTTTTTTAATGGTCATGTCCCATTAGTCATCTGCCCATTTGTGATACTCCCAATAGTTATACAGCAAACGAGGGATCAGTTAAAACAACAATAGGCATATACCCTTTGGTCAAAATGGATTAGTCCACTAATTAGAAAGCTTGGGATTAGTTTATTATCTAACATAATTATCTATACTGAGTATGACACAGTCTTTTGTAATGAAAACATAAACGAATGTTATTAAAGTAATATACATTGAAGTTATTTGAACATAATACAGGACAGTCTTTGATAATCAAAACATTCAAATTAAAGTTATTTAAATAAATACCTATAATGTTTAAGTTACAAGTACAGGATTCATCTCAAACTATTTACTGTTCATTACTGAGTTAAATTGAGTTTACTCAATTTAGTGAAAAAACACAAACTAGTGCATAGAAGTGTCCTGTACCGGCATAGACAACACACCATACCAGCACTCCCACTGGTAAGAGGTGATGTGGAACTTGAGGGAAAGTGGACTGAGACAGCTGACGGCCAACCATACCTGTTGTTTGCTGACGGTGATGGCGAAGAAAAGATGTTAGTCTTTTCCTCTTTGGATCAGCTGACTATTTTGCAGTCAGCAGATAACTTCTACATGGATGGTACATTTTCATCACCAACTCTTCATTATCCATGCCAGAAGAGGTTCCAAGACCTACCCCTTGGTGTTTGCTCTTCTTCCCGATCGCCAGACAACAAATCAATGTTAACTGTCATATGATACGGCTCAATTTGTAATATCTTTAAACCCTGAAATAAACTGAATTTACCTAATGGTTTAAACGTGTAATATATGAATGTTTACCGGACCATATGAATACTTGTTTTTGGAAGGACGACAACGCACAACGCGACACTGTCTCTACTAGGATTCCATAATTGTGACATTATGTAACTGCTACCATGACACTATTATCTATTATTACAGTCATACATGTGCCAGCGGCTGACCAGGAGGCCCTTGACTCGGATGTGCACAGTAAGTAAAATAAAATGTCGCTAGTTTTTATTTCTTATGTTTATCAATAACCTGGTAAATACGATTCATGTCAAATTTAACATTCACTGATAGAACTCTTTGATCATGCGTGCTGAAGAGAATAGTTTTTATAAAAAAACATACATGATTGCTACAAAAGTTACTTTTATAATAATTTACGCTAATTTGTTTATTTCGTGAAATTTGAGCTTATAATGTATATAATGTTTAATCATAACGTGATTTGAACTCTGCCGAAACGATACAGATTTTTACTAAATTCATTAACGGATGTATATGATTTACCTCTTTCCACTAAACCTTTCAGCTATTTTGATGTTATTGATTGAAATAAAGAAGATATACATCATTTGTGAAAAAAATAATGTCATGAAAACATTTTCAACAATTATTTTGTAAATTTCAGATGATTCACCAGTCAAGAAATTCAAGACAGATCATAGAGGTAACCTGTTTTCTCTCTTTAAAAGTCACACATAATTAGATACATATGAAAACAGTACAAATTTGAAATTACGATGTACATAACATATGCCATTTAATGTACAGGTTCATATGTCACAATGTTGACATGGTCTCTGGGATAATGAAGCCTTGATTTCTTTAGATCTGTATGCGTACAATATTGAATGTTCCCCTTTTTATTTGTAGATAGACCCAGTACATCCGTCCAAGTTATAAAACGAATCGTGATGGGCATATGTAGACCGCAAGACAAAATAGGTAATTGTGTTTTATATATACCACATACATACATACATACATACATACATACATACATACACACACACACACACACACACACACACACACACACACACACACACACACACACACACACACACACACACACACACATACATACATACATATACGTACGTATTTATTTATTTATTGTTGTGTTTATATACATATCTTCAAGTATACGATCGACCGAAGAGACACATAGTTGTTTAATAATACATATAATTACACATTTCAGTGATTCCTACAAAGAAAGACACAAGAAACATAATTTGAAGGACTCGGGTAAATATAAAAGATACACAAAGTTCACCAAATCTACCTAAAACCATTACTAATTCCATGAGTAGATTCTTTTAAGTTCCATATATTTTCCGTTATTCCCTGTCTTATCATTTGTAATATTTGTATACATTAAATATTGAAGTTAACGCGAGCGTGAATTAAATGCGAAAAATGCGAGTTATATTTTTTTTCTGAATATCAGGTGATGGTTTTCCATCATTATACAAACCGCCACTAACCGAGTCATACTTCTCTTGGAGACGGAAGAATCACTTATAGAAGGAGCAGTTGAACATTTGCTTCATACCACATATGCTTCCTTTTCGTAAAACCCGAGGCAAAACTATTTCCTCAAGTATTTTATGTTGCAATTATGTGTCTAAAAAGACATCCTAGTATTATTTTGATGCAACTTATTTGCAGATTTATCTGTCGGTACCATGCAGTTAAGTGACGTTTTCATAGCCTAATATCATATACATGTATTTTCCCTTAATCCACAGCGCCAACAGTCCCACCCGGTATAGACAGGGGTAGAATGTGCCATGAAGGTAAGAGTAACTTGTCAAAAGTAGCATTCGAATAAGTAACGTCTTCAGTTGCATTACGAATGGGAAGCAATATATTTCACCTGGATCTCAGTATTAATTTCTGATACTTCAGTGGAAGTATTTGTTCATATTAACGTTTTATTTCCGACAACTGAACCTTGCTCTTGGAAGAAATTGTGTTGATTAACCTTTAGTGTCGGCACATTTAACTACTATGAATACAAATTGTTTGTTTAAGAAACAAATTTTCCTGTGTTTTTAGCAGTATCCTCGTGTGTTTAAATGTTAAACAAGTTCAGATACGTGTGTTCATCGCTTGATATATTGCCTTTTAATCCTCCAGTTCCAAGCCAGATACAAACACCTCCCCTTCAGGAAGAGAGGTCGGACGACAATGGAAAGAAAGGTGAGGTAACCAGTGATAATAAATGGCATGGTGTACTTTTCCGGTCATGTTATATTCAACACCAGGGTCTTGCGCTTGAATGTTAATAATGCGTTCCTTATTTTTATTAACATCCCTAGATATGTTTTTTTTATGAGTAATCGACTTTCCGTGCTTATAAGTATTTTATATTTCAGGTCAAAGAATGGTGCTTGGGGACTCGCTATGCAGGGGGATTGCGGGCGATATACCCAACTGCTCAGTAATAAGCAAACCAGGAGCTAACCTGAAGCGAATGCAAACAATAATAACCAATTTAAATGTAAAGACTTATCACTCTATTGTGTTACATGTAGGGACAAATGACATTTCTTCCTTTAATCCACATCGATTTCTCTCTGAATATATGACACTAATTAAATACTTAAAATCGATGAACCCTGATGCCGTTATAATGTGTTGTGACATTATTCCACGCATCAGGGATTTCAGCACAACACAGAGGGTTGTAATCCATGCGAACAATATCATAAGGCATGTGTGCACTGTTCTCAGATGTAAAAATGTGCGAACATCCAAAAGATTTTTATATTTGGGAACAGGTGGACCAAGGCACTATCTATATTGTTCGGACGGATTACACCTGAATGATAAAGGGAAGTATCAGCTGAAAAGGTCATTTTGCCCAAGCCCTATCACATGCCCATCAGTAAAGATTTGCTTTTGTCCTAGTCATCCCATTTAGAACTGTTTAAAAGAATGAATATATTCACTAGTTTATAAGAAATTTGAAAAATAGTTTTCTGCTGATATTTCCATTTATTTCTTTATTTATTTTAGCTTATGTCGTAATTTATAGGATTTTTATGCTTTTCAAAATATGGTCAGAATAACACTCTTATAGTCCCTACCTACATTTATTTAATGTATGGTAACAATCTTGTTCGTAGTAAATTGAGCTCTGTATTCTGATGAACTTAGACACTTTTTATTCTCGCAGTTATTGTAGTATGTGTCTTTGCAATTCTTAGTTACTGTTTTCTGATTAATTGTAACCAACAGTCATGCCCGGTAAAGTGAATGTTGTGATAACTAATTTCCCTTCCCTTCTCATGACATTTTAGACCTATCCATATTATGTTGTTTTGGATTGTACTATGCATAAACCAAAAAGTATAACATTTAAATATCGTGTAGAAATCATTGCAGACCTTACGCAGCAAATTGTTATGTGAACTGTAACGTATGTTATATTTGGGATTACACTGTCTTATTAAAGTACACATTCTGATACTTTTTAGGGTCCCCATGTCATTTGTCCCTACTTGCACTTTCGTTATGTGAACTGTCCAGTAATACTGATTTAAAAATAATAAACTTTCCTCTTATTTTAGTTAGTTTCCATATTCCAATGCTAAAAAGTATTTGATTATACATTTCTGTTTTTCTTCCAACTTTTCCGATATAAACAAACGATCTAATCTTTCATTTTGGACTAGTTTATCTCCATGAATACTAGTAACTTCTTCTTGTCATATTGGTGTATCTCCAAGCACGTCACATGATCTATAAAACGATGTTGTTCATATTCCCTTTTTGTTTTATTTACTTTTTTTGTGGTTAAAGCTGATTCATCTGCAGCATTCATCTCGCCACACAAGCATAAGTAATCTGTCTCAAACCGAGAAAGATTATTGAAAAAGCATAGACTATCTGAATTTGGACCATATGGGAAAATCAAAGAGAGCGTTATATGTAAACAAAAAGTAGAAACATTAAAAGCCATAACAAATCGTTAAAAATCAGTCTGCGATAGCCTCGAAAGGTAGATACTTATATAGGGCGTGGAAGTCCGTTCACACTTTAGTGTCCAGAAGTTCTATATGACTTTATACTATATATGTTAAACATTTCTTACTTTAAATGTGATGACGAACGCGAAATCCCCAATAAAGCTCACCAAAGACAATTTGTTTGGATTCTTTGAAGGCTAATTCTAGATATTGTGACGGTTTGAATACGAAAAACCGTGTTTGGAAAACAGGGATGGAAGGATGCTAAACCTTGGAATTATGTCACTTTCTATTTTCTTAGAACTATTAAGATGTCCATCTACACCTTTGTTGCAGAAAGTACCCTTCTGTCTCGCCTAAATTCATTGCTAAAAAGATTTGAAAAATCGTCTCCAAACGTCTGTTGATGTCTGCCAATTTGGTCTCGAAAAGTAGGTATGTCTCGAAAAGTAGGTTGGTGATATTTATATAGAGCGTGGGCGCTTTGGAAAACAGGTGTTTTACCGTGGTATATTGTCACTTTCTATCTTTTTTAGAACTATTAAGATGTCCATTTACACACTTATTGACGAAATTACCCTTCTGTCTCGTCTAAATTCATTGTTAAAAAGCTTTGTAAAATCGTCTCCAAACGTCTGTTGATGGCGGCCATGTTTGTCTCCAAAAGTAGGTTGGTGATATTTATATAGGTCGTGGAGGGTTTGGTAAACAGGAACGGAAAGGTGCTAAACTGGGGTATATTGTCACTTTCAAGTTTTTATAGAGTTATTAAGATGTCCATCTACACTTTTGTCACAGAAAGTATCCCTCTAGCCTGTCTAACTTAATTTTTAAAATCGTTGAAAAATGGTCTCCAAAAGTCTGTTGGGGATGTTTATAGAAGGCGGCCATTATGGTCTCGAAAAGTAGGTTGGTGATATTTATATAGGGCACGGAGGGTTTGGAAAACAGGAACGGAAAGGTGCTAAACCGTGGTATCTTGTCACTTTCAAGTTTTTATAGAGTTATTAAGATGTCCATCTACACTTTTGTCACAGAAAGTATCCCTCTAGCCTGTCTAACTTAATTTTTAAAAATCGTTGAAAAATGGTCTCCAAAAGTCTGTTGATGATATTTATAGAAGGCGGCCATTATGGTCTCGAAAAGTAGGTTGGTGATATTTTATATATTGCGTGGAGGGTTTGGAAAACAGGAACGGAAAGGTGCTAAACTGGGGTATATTGTCACTTTCTTTTTTTATAGAATTATTAAGATGTCCGTCTACACTTTTGTCACAGAAAGTATCTTTCTAGCTTGTCTAACTTAATTTTTAAAAATCGTTCAAAGATGGTCTCCAAAAGTCTGTTGATGATATTTATAGAAGGCGGCCATTATGGTCTCGAAAAGTAGGTTGGTGATATTTTATATATTGCGTGGAGGGTTTGGAAAACAGGAACGGAAAGGTGCTAAACCGGGGTATATTGTCACTTTCTTTTTTTTATAGAATTATTAAGATGTCCGTCTACACTTTTGTCGCAGAAAGTACCTTTCTAGCTTGTCTAACTTAATTTTTAAAAATCGTTGAAAAATGGTCTCCAAAAGTCTGTTGGGGATGTTTATAGAAGGCGGCCATTATGGTCTAGAAAAGTAGGTTGGTGATATTTATATAGGGCGTGGAGGGTTTGGAAAACAGGAACGGAAAGGTGCTAAACTGGGGTATATTGTCACTTTCTTTTTTTTATAGAATTATTAAGATGTCCGTCTACACTTTTGTCGCAGAAAGTATCTTTCTAGCTTGTCTAACTTAATTTTTAAAAATCGTTCAAAAATGGTCTCCAAACGTCTGTTGATGATATTTATAGAAGGCGGCCATTATGGTCTCGAAAAGTAGGTTGGTGATATTTTATATATTGCGTGGAGGGTTTGGAAAACAGGAACGGAAAGGTGCTAAACCGGGGTATATTGTCACTTTCAAGTTTTTATAGAGTTATTAAGATGTCCATCTACACTTTTGTCACAGAAAGTATCCCTCTAGCCTGTCTAACTTAATTTTTAAAATCGTTGAAAAATGGTCTCCAAAAGTCTGTTGGGGATGTTTATAGAAGGCGGCCATTATGGTCTCGAAAAGTAGGTTGGTGATATTTATATAGGGCACGGAGGGTTTGGAAAACAGGAACGGAAAGGTGCTAAACCGTGGTATCTTGTCACTTTCAAGTTTTTATAGAGTTATTAAGATGTCCATCTACACTTTTGTCACAGAAAGTATCCCTCTAGCCTGTCTAACTTAATTTTTAAAAATCGTTGAAAAATGGTCTCCAAAAGTCTGTTGATGATATTTATAGAAGGCGGCCATTATGGTCTCGAAAAGTAGGTTGGTGATATTTTATATATTGCGTGGAGGGTTTGGAAAACAGGAACGGAAAGGTGCTAAACTGGGGTATATTGTCACTTTCTTTTTTTATAGAATTATTAAGATGTCCGTCTACACTTTTGTCACAGAAAGTATCTTTCTAGCTTGTCTAACTTAATTTTTAAAAATCGTTCAAAAATGGTCTCCAAAAGTCTGTTGATGATATTTATAGAAGGCGGCCATTATGGTCTCGAAAAGTAGGTTGGTGATATTTTATATATTGCGTGGAGGGTTTGGAAAACAGGAACGGAAAGGTGCTAAACCGGGGTATATTGTCACTTTCTTTTTTTTATAGAATTATTAAGATGTCCGTCTACACTTTTGTCGCAGAAAGTACCTTTCTAGCTTGTCTAACTTAATTTTTAAAAATCGTTGAAAAATGGTCTCCAAAAGTCTGTTGGGGATGTTTATAGAAGGCGGCCATTATGGTCTAGAAAAGTAGGTTGGTGATATTTATATAGGGCGTGGAGGGTTTGGAAAACAGGAACGGAAAGGTGCTAAACTGGGGTATATTGTCACTTTCTTTTTTTTATAGAATTATTAAGATGTCCGTCTACACTTTTGTCGCAGAAAGTATCTTTCTAGCTTGTCTAACTTAATTTTTAAAAATCGTTCAAAAATGGTCTCCAAAAGTCTGTTGATGATATTTATAGAAGGCGGCCATTATGGTCTCGAAAAGTAGGTTGGTGATATTTTATATATTGCGTGGAGGGTTTGGAAAACAGGAACGGAAAGGTGCTAAACCGGGGTATATTGTCACTTTCTTTTTTTATAGAATTATTAAGATGTCCATCTACACTTTTGTCACAGAAAGTATCTTTCTAGCTTGTCTAACTTAATTTTTTAAAATCGTTCAAAAATGGTCTCCAAAAGTCTGTTGATGATATTTATAGAAGGCGGCCATTATGGTCTCGAAAAGTTGGTTGGTGATATTTTATATATTGCGTGGAGGGTTTGGAAAACAGGAACGGAAAGGTGCTAAACCGGGGTATATTGTCACTTTCTTTTTTTATAGAATTATTAAGATGTCCATCTACACTTTTGTCACAGAAAGTATCTTTCTAGCTTGTCTAACTTAATTTTTTAAAATCGTTGAAAAATGGTCTCCAAAAGTCTGTTGGGGAT